GCCCTTGTGGTCTCTTCCAACTCTATGTTTCTATGATTCTATGATTCATATTTTTCCGAGGAGCATAGCTTCATTCATATGCCTTGTGGGCTACCATATACTTACAGAACAATGGGCAAGGTAAAGGCTTGAAATGGTACTTTATTAGTAACAAATTCTTTGCCTAAATTGGCATTTAAATTATTCTTTTAAATGATTCCCCTTTTCGAAGGAGAACAGCAAACCTGGTGTTACTCAATGGACTTCTTAGTGATGCTCAAAATGGAGGACATTCTGGAATTTCTCCTGGACAGAAGGTTGAAATGTCCTTGGCTGCATCCGGATTGCAGAAATAATCCAGTTTGTCACCACTTTAACTGTCATGACTCAATGCTATGGAATTCTAGGAATTGTACTTTGTTGTGGCACCAGAGCAAAATAAAGCTGCCACTTTGTACTCGCAGAGCTTTGCTCTGGTGCCACAACAAAGTACAATTCTCAGAATTCCATAGCATTGAGCCATGGCAGTTAAAATGTTGTAAAGCCAGATTATTTCTCCAGTGTGGATCCAGAAAAGCTTCCTGCCCTTGCTTTAGCTGGTGTCTTGTGCTTCTGTCATATTTCATAAAACCTAAAGAAATAATGCTGTTGAAATGTTTGAAAGTTAAACCCAAACTATCATTACATAAGTTGACAGCTCGGATTCAAATGCAAATCTTAGAGAATATCATAACCAATTTAATTGTGAATAACAGGAAAAAAGGTGGCCTTTCTAGTCAATTTCACAGCTTTTTCAATATTTTGTTTTATTTAATACACACACAGTGTTTTCAACAAATTAAGGCTCATTTAGATGCCATTCAGCCACACAGAGAGGCTTGGTCATCATCCACAGAGCAGAAGCTTCATGCATTAGTGATATTTAAAGTACCATTTGGTGGCACACACACAAATAATTTGAAGGGGCTATACAAAAAACAGGGAAGCACCACTTTGCAACAGCCCTATCATAAATGTAAATTAAGGAAACAGAGACAGTCTCAGTTATGTTTTGCTTCTATTCAAGGTTGTTCCCTTTCCAGCCTGCCAACTAAGACCATCCTATCAGCAAGTGCCTGAGTCTTTAATAGTTTGCTACTCAGTGCCAAGTGGGCTGGGGTTAAGGATGCAGATCTCCCATGAAAGTGCAAAATCCTCAAATAAAAAACCACTATCTTTTGTTAACTTGAGAGATCACCTCTAGGAGTCTCTAGATCAGTGGTTCCTAAACGTTGGTCTTCCAGATGTTTTGGACTTCAGCTCCCATAATTCCAGAATGTTGGCCAAGCTCCAAAACACCCAGAGAACCAAAGTTTGGAAACCGCCATTCTAGATCTTTCAGCACAACCTTATGGTCAACATCCACCAGACGTTGACCAGAGAATTGTTCTGGAGGAGCTACAAATTCTTAGAAAAGTGTTCTCTCTAGGAATCTCCAGGTCCTCCAGCACAACCTCTGGCAAAAGTTGGCCATAGAGTCAGGCAGGAGGACCTACAGATTCCTAGAGAGAACATATTAATCAAATCTGCAAATAAAGCTGCAAAAGTCAATGCTGTAAATGTGGAGGACCGACTATACTTCCATTACCAGGCTGAGCTTCCTTAGTTGCCTCGATCAGGGTTCTAGATGAAGCAGACAGTAGTTAGGATCACTATGGTGTTCTGTGATGCCACCACCATTTCCAAGCCCTACAGTCCTACAGTTTTGAGAAACTGTAGCTGATGTTAAGACAATGTGGGAAAGTATTGACTCACAGCCTGTTTCTATAGCAGAGTTGCAAGAGGTGGCTTCACGAATGGGCATTGAACTTGAATCTAGGGAATTACTGAAGTCCAAGCCTCCAATAGGATCTTTTATCCTATGTTTACAGAGGTGGCTAGATTGATAGAGACAAAGCTTTCTAATAAGTTTGCGATTTATTTGGGGATTCAAACATACAAAGACACTCTAACATTCACTCATACATACAAGAACTCAGGAATAAAGTAGTTAGCTTGAATAGGAAACAGAAGGCTTTCTAATGGTGATAATTACCTAATGGTGGCTGCTCCAACGATGAATGAAGATGGATAGACTCAACTGTTATGAAAGGGAAAGGACAATAGGAAGAGCCAATGTGGCACAATGTCACCATGAAATCTAACCAGAGCCAATGCGCCTGAGATTTTGGGGATCTTTTATACCCTTAAACCTAGCCTGAAGCAAAGAGTTGCTATTGTATAGCAAAGGATTCTGGATTACTATTCTTTGAAGTAGACAATTTCCAAAGAGAGGAGATGGGATGTTAATGTTATCTCATTTTCAGCTGGGCACATCCTGGCTGGTACTCATAAATCTCCTAGGTGTGAATGTCCTGCTTTGCAGCTCCTAAGCCTTGTCCTTTTGATCTGCAAATTGTAGGTGCAGACATGACCTTTCAGGTGCCTATGTGAGGTCCTTGCTTTGGTTCCATGGCAGTTGGGCTTTTCCAGTCCATGACAGGAGACCCACGAAGTTTTTTTAAAAAAAAAAAAAATATTAAAACAATTATTGCAACAGCGTGAAAGCTCCAGACTTGTCACCCTAGGTGGCAACACCATTAAAACAAAGCTGCTACCCTGCACTCATGGAACTCAACAATTAATGGCAGCCATAGGTTACTTTTAGATTCTGTATGGGGCTACAGATTTCTCATGAATTATATCGTAAACATGATTAGGTGTTTTACTGGGAAGGAGGAATGTGATCTAGGGAGGCAGGGATTTGTGCAGAGCATCTTCAAATTTTACAGTTTTGTATGGGCCATCTAGCACTGTTTACCTCCAGAGGCTGGGTGGATCTGGATTCTAGATTGATTTCTGATCACTGTGGAAAGGATTCTTGATAAAATGATTCTGGTGAATCTGAGTGTGGGAGGAGATACTGCTAGGTAATCTCTCTTGCTTAGCAGAGCCAGTTTGGTTTCTTAGACTCTCTCTGAGGTCCTGCTTCATGAGGAAGATGGTGCAAAGAAATCCTATTTCTCTATTTCACCAAGGAATTTACATGGAAGCATTTTCAGCCAGCTTGCTCTATGACTTTACAGGTTGGCTGTCAAAGGCAGTTAGAGGAATATTCAGTAACTGCTCTGATGTTGTTTGCTAAACAAGGTGGATTAATTTGCTCACATCCATTGCTGGCTGAAAAGTATCAGATGTACCTTTGATCTCTCCTTGTCATTTTTTAATGCTAATGTGTGATTTCATGCAATTTTGAGAATGTGGCTGGTATTCCTTGACAGTGTGGTCCTCTCTGTCTTGAAAAAAGTTGCAGCAAAAGGAGCCAATCATAGCAAATTATAACTGATTTTGAGAAATTATCAAGTGGTCTCAAACACATCCTACTCAGACAAGATGCTGTGTATGTGATAGTGGTCCAGTTCCATTTTGTTACACATGGTTAATTATCTGGATCTGTTTCAATTTGGCTTCTCCCTGGATTTGGCCATCGTGGGGTAGTGGTTTGGATTATGACTCTGGAGACCAGGATTTGAATCCCTACTCACCCCATTAGATGACCTTGAGAGGGTTATATTCTCTCAGCCTCAAAGGCAAACCGTCTTTCAACAAATCTTAGGATTGTCATACATTGGCAATGACTCAAAGACATCCAACAACAGCAACAACCAACAACTTGGGATTTGGGACTGAAATTGTCTTGATCATCCTACATGACAATCTCTGCTGGGAGATGGATAAGCAGAATGTGGTCCTGTTGATTGTCCTGGATTGCTTAGCAGCATTTGAAGCTATCAGTCATGGTAACCTACTGGATTGCCTTCTGGACTTGGACTTGGGGGGTGCACTATATTCCCATGGCAGCAGAAGTTCTCCAAAAGGTGGAGATT